AATAGAGTTTCCTATTAATAATGGTGACAACTTACATTTATATAGTCCTTCCTTTTAAGCTATCCTAATCCTAGCACTTTGTAAACTACACATTAGAAAACTTTATCCTCCATTGAATTTCATCCACATCTCAACTGAAAAAGGGTAACTGGTTATTCTGCAACAAATTCTCAATAGTTCTAAGAGATGAAAGAGAAAATATATGAATAAATTCTCAGATATGTACAATCTAACTAGCTAAAATAAGAGGTCTGTATTCTGACTTTATTTTAACAAAGGGAACCAAGGGTATTTATTAATAATAAAAAGTCAGAAAGAATCTTTTTCTTTTTTTTTTTTGACATTTTACTTCTTTGGTTTACCATACCTTTGGTTTACCATTCCTTAAACAAATCATTGTTTTAAAGCAAACATTTACCACCTGTTCATAAGACAACATACTTACTTCCTGCTTCAGGTTATAAAATTATTATGGCGTTAAGAAATTATCTTGTGCAAACTTTGAAAATACTGACTAATTCTGGCATCAATGGCTGCCAGCACTGGTTTCAAAACAAACAGCGTATTCAACATTCAACATTAAAGTGGCAGTCACATTTGGTTTCCATCAACAACTCCCTTATTCTAGGATCAAAATACTTTGATAATCCAAAAACTCTGATTTAATGCTAAATTAGCCTTGATTCACACAATCAAGGTTTCAAGATTCACACAATTAAAGTTACATCATCTTCACTGACAGCACTCGGCTGTATGTATTGCAGAAACTCAGAATTACCTCTTAGCTTTCTTATTTTGAACTGGGAGAGATTCCAAATCAGTTGTAAAACCAGCACACTTGTAACAAAACTCAGTAATACTTGCCACCTGAAAAGGCATCTATTGTAAACACAAGCTCATACATAAAATAATGCTAAAATGTTGATTACTTAAATTTAGTCAGTATTTCACCCTCAAAAGAAGAGAAAATATGTTACTTCCAAAAACAACATCCAGAAAAAAATACAATAAATATTTTATTTCTTTTTTCTTCATGAAATACTGTATCATAAACATCATTTATTCATTACTTGCTCTAAATTTCTCTTTTATACCCACATCTAAATACCTGTTACAGCTAGACTAGAAATGATTCAATGACCAGACTTGCCAAGGCTTTTCCCAGTCTTTATATTCCTTACACAAATTTGATAGCTCAATGACCTCTTTCTACAGTGTTCTTTTCAATTTAAAACTGACTTACCAAATGTGGCACTCATTAGTGGCTTTTAGGAGCATATTAGACAGTTTTCAGAAAGGTTATTGCACAGATTATTCTGTATTGCAGGAAAGAACACACTGATTCTCAAGGTCTCTTCATCCTACTTGCTAGGCTTTTACAAAAGTTAACAATGAAGTCAATTATAAATTATAACTGGGACAATTTGGATTGTGTACTGGTGCCATGTCATGCCAGTGTAACTTTTTTCCAAACAACTGCAAATTATACAGGATTAAGGGAAAGAGTAGTGATTATTCTAATCCATATTTGTACATTCTTTTATATCTGTTATCATTCTAGCGTAAATTGTCAAAGACATTATGATTATATATACTGTATTTTTAAAATCTATTTGGACACATATGCACATTATAGAGTATCAGATGGCAATGGATAATCTAAGTTGTTAACTGTATCTTGAAAGCTATGTTTATAGACCAGGTAGTTGCTCAGTGATTTGTTAAAGGGCAGACATCTGGATCATTGCAGGATCTGTATGAACAAAAAGCAGACTGTTGATTTCACAGTCATTTTTGACCTCTGAATAATTTCAGTCTGACTGTGCAAGAACTCCATTCCAAGCAGACAACAGTATTATAACCACATCAATTATTGTTGGCCATCAATATATGGCTGCTGAATAAGTGATTCCAGAACTGGTATTTAGTTCTGGCATCTGTTTTTCTTGGCTTCTTTTTGTGCTGACTCTGCCAGCTTCTTAAATTACTCCTCTTTTCTCCTCTGACACTTTCCTTTGCTTCTCAATTTTCCTTAGCTAGCAATACACTAACCTGACTGCGTTTTGTGGTCTCATTTTTCAAATTCAGTGTGAAATCCATTCTATAATTCCAATAAGGATGTTTCAAGTTTCAGCATGTTGTTTAATGTTAGTTCCCCATTGCCCTAGCTCCAGAAAGATAGAGCAGTGAGACTAAACTTGGAGAGGCCTGAATTCACTGAAAGAGGTAAACTTGGGGTAACAGAGACTTTTTCCTTGCAAGTACAAATTTCTTAAACAGGGTCAACAAAAAAAGTTAAGACATCAAGAAAGACATTCAAAACCTGAAGTTTAACAGCACTAGAAGGACTGCAAAGGTATAAAAAAAAATTATTTTAAATGGTATTAATGTCTCTATGCTCTGGGCAGCCTGGTCTAGTGGTTGGTGATCCTGCACACAGCAGGGTATTGAAACTAAATGATCATTACGGTCCTTTGCAATCCAGGCCATTCTATGATTCTATGATTCTCTAAGGATGAAAATAGGTTTTCATTGCCACTTCATCAATTCCTTCTCTTTTAATTGAAAGAAAGTGCATTTCACCTGTGTGTACTGAAAGAACCTAAATAGCTAACAAACTTGGACCAGTCAGGTACCTTAGAATCTACAGGCAGCACTGAATCTATCACACAGTAAAATAACCCGTAACACTGCATGATACTGCATAAAACTGCATAGAATCTAGCAACCTCCCACAAAAATGATCCAGCTTCAGGCACAGTAGTATATAATGTAAATGCACTGAAAATGGCCAAGATCAGAGACAAAATATGGATTTATAGGATCTTTATTTTTAACCTTAAGAAGCATTTTTAATGTTAATCTAGAATTCTAATTGGTTTGTCTGACAAGAAAAAAAAAAAAAAAAAAGCTAAAAATGCATGTTCAAAAAACCTATTCATTATTGTTAAAATGACTAAATTCCAGACACTGTGTAGAACTCCAATCATATGACAACTGTTCCCTTTAGTAGTATACTATATACATCTATATATATATTACATACAACGTAAACAGAAAGAGAAAGAGTTGAAAATGAAGACCTTGGTAATAGAAAACAGAAGAACAGTTAGTAACAATGATCATTATGATTAACAATTTTAGGCAGATGTATGTGCAGATACAGATGTAATTAGAAGCTAATTTTCTGGATGGGCTGAGGTGCTGCATCTGTAATAATAGGATAATAGAACAGAAGTTCTTGAGGTAGCTGGTTTGTTGGATTCCTGTATAATAATTTCAATGTGTTCAGATACTGATGCCATCACCTTTGGCAACAAAACAAGGACATTTTGCAAAAGAAAATCTTAAGATACTTAGAAAGGCGATTCAAATTACCTATTTTACTGCTATCTGTCTAGAATTAATTCAACAAAGGTCACAGAGCAATGTATTTAAGACTCTTGAAATAGTGCTGGGGTTCCTGTGAGTCCTTTTAGGATATCTGGGCAAAAATTAAAGAAAGTCATGAGCTTTCAGATTCTTTTCAAGTCTTCAGAAGATGATTCCCTCCTCATTTCAGTGAATGTCTGCCCCCTGGAGTCTTCTTTTATTCATAGAAAGAAAAGCCAACAATTTCAAAATCACCATTGATATAAGGATATAAGGAGTATATTTTTCTGTCTTTATTTGTAGTATTAATATAATTTCATTTCATCATCACTTTCTTCTTTGATTTTTACAGGTTTCTAGTTTTTAGCAGATTACCAAATCTTGAAGTGCAAGGCTGTTGAGCTAGTTACCTCTTCTACAGGGTTCCTCCACTTTTCCACATGAATACAAGAAATTTTTCAGCACTCCAATATTTTCTAATCCTATGCTTCATTCTCTTACTTAAATATGATCCTCATTAACTTACAAGTATAAATGATATTTGAAACTCGAAGTCATGATTCACTTTCATCTTTGAAGGAGAAATAACAAAACTGACTTCTGGAATTCCATCAAAATCCTGCAATCCAACTTGTATATTCTGTATGTAGTAAACATATGCTTTCCCCTTCTGTCTTTCCCCAAGTGAAATTAAGTTGTGCTCTTAACATAGCATCAATTCTTTGTGTATCTGTCTGCTGCACTTCATCTTTGAAAACTATGCCCATAAATTCCAATATTTCATAGAGAATGTAATAATCATTATGATGTGCTTCCAGAGAGAAATGGAACAGAAAAGGTTGGTAAGAAAGGAGAATCAAGGAGGCACATAGGTCATTTGGCTTCACAGGCTTACGAATTTTCTTTCATCCGCCAAGGTAGCATTTGAATACAATAAAGTTAATCCCTTACAGCATATCTCAGCAACATTTCCCAGAGATTTTATGTGCCTTTTAATAGAAACATTAAGAAGTATGTCATTATTTCTTACTCTCTGAATGAGTAATTCATAGACTGTTACTGATTGTGAGCAATACTCGTAATAATTTAAATGGTATGAAGATATTTATCTTATTTTCTAATGCCACCAATTCATACTTTTGCAACTGGATATCACATTATAGAAAATAAAACAGTAAAAATAATATTCAGAGAATTCTCTTTGAAAAGGATTCAGAAGGGCATTCCTAAAATAAATAATTTTGAATTTAGCCATGAATTGTTGTTATCTTCAAATGTTTCTTTTCCATCCTACCTATATTTTCACTAAACTATGTACCGAAATAAAATTATCCTTTATTGGACAGTATATAGATAAGATAGGGAGGTGGATCATCATTCTCTTGTTGTTTTAGTGTTGTAATTTCTTTATTTTGATATCTGTAACTCTATCAGAAGTGTTATTTTTAAATAACTAATTAATTAATAACAAGATTGCTGAATCAGTTAATTAATAGGAAGACTATGACGAAACTGGTAGTTTCACCTCAGCTAAAGTTCATAGACTAGTATGAATATTTTGATTACTTTAAAAGTTAAGCAATAAACTTATAGTTACATTTAAAAACAGCAGATCAACATAGGAAAAATTTATTTCTGCCAAGTCTTTATTTTCAACCGCAAGTAATCAAAGTGCTCATTCAAAGCAGTCATTTCTCATTAGGTCATCAATTTTCACATGTGACAGCAATGGATGAAATTATTTTCACCTGTAAAAAATATACTGCACCTTACTCTACATTATGGTCAGAATATTGTACTTTTTTTTTTTTTTTTTTTTAAATCAAGATAGGTTTGTCAAACTGATTGTATGGCTTGTGATTCCGAAGACCATCCTTCAAGGTATAAGCAGGAGTAAATTTTAATCCAGTCAAACAGTAGCAAATGATGAATCCGAGGGTTTCATTTAGAGTTTAAAGTGAGAATGTCACCCTCCAAAGAGGGTGAATATTTTCAAGTTCTCAGATTTTTTTCAAGTTCTTATTTCCTTCTATTATCTGTGTCTTTTTGCCACAGCACAAAGTTGCAACACCTAGGTACTTGGTTAACAACTTAACTGTAAGAAATACCTATTCTAATTTGATTTTATAGTTTGGATTTTGTGAACACATATGTTGGCATTAACTCAGACAGTATATGAGCCTATCCATGGCTCTGCTTTGAGAAGCAGAGACTATGAGGAAGTTCTGCTGAATTATGGGAAATTCTAATCTTTCCCATTTCCTGCAGCTTCTTTTTAGTGATGGAACATGTATCTTCTCTGTCATGATACAATGATTTCCTTTTTCATGTGGCAGGAACCATATTGATTTTTTTATGTCACATTTCCTAGTTCTTAGGACTTCTCTATAATTTATAACTTCGTTCACTAGCTCTATTCTCTGATCTTCCCCTTTCCTAGCTGACATTCTTTTCCTCTCAGTTGTGGAAGATAAAACTGTTTTGTTCCCTTGAATTTACATATGTTAGCTTGATTTGTTGGTATTTTTCTGCTAAATCTGAATGATTACAGTCAAGCACAACAAGTATGCTATTTATTTTTTCCCTAGTGTTCTTAAGGTTCAAAAGCCTCACTCCAGTAATTGACTGGTATGCTCTTTCCATATTTTAACTCAACAGGCCCTTAAATCAGAATGTTCACTATGTACTCACAAAAGCATCCTGCTTGTCTCCTGAAACTGTAAATATATTTCTGTGCTATTTTTCAGAAAAGGAAACAAATGAACCACAGATAAGGAATAATACTTATTTCGCTGAATCAATTGTCTACAGTCATTATGTACCTAAAGATAGGTTGCTCTGAAAGTAATGCCTCCTATTTTTCTCCACTGAAACTAGAACAGCTACAAAGACCACAGATCAATGAAGTAAATTCTCAGCTACAGAGCACTATTTTTTCAACATAGCCACCACCATTATCCACAGATTTTCACCAGTGATTAATCAAATCCTGCATGCCATTCTTCTCAAGTACATTTTACTTAGACTTCAGCCAAGTATTGTAAATAGACTAGAAAATCCTGTTCCACCTACGTTTTCACTGAACAGTTCAGGAAAATTTCTTTTAAAGTCCTCTGGTCATCCTTTTCTTGTGTTTAGCTGAAATTTGAATACTCTTCTAGAAAGATGTAATTTCTATCAAAGCTTCAGAGTAGATGAAAATAGCTTATTCTACTCCACAGACTTATTAAGTAGATGCATACATACATATATAAGATGGCCATTAAAGTTTCCTTCTCTTTCTCATTTTTCCACATTCTAGCAATTTATGCTTTTGAGAGCAAATTTCCTTTTGGCTTTGTTTTTAAATACTCAATTTCCCCTAAACAAAACTGTTCTGTCTTTACCAAGAGACTTCTGTGACCTTGGGCAAATTACCTCAGGGCTGTGTCTCCACTTTCTTTTTAGACTCATGCTGATCTTTTTAGCTTGCAGCCTACTGGGACAAGGTTTAGCTGTACATTTCTGGAGTACTTAGCAAAATAAAATCCTATTCTCATCTTTCAGTGTAGTACACCTGTAAAAGAAATAATGAAAAGAACAAAACACAACCACTTACATAGATCTTTCTAAAGGCTCTGAAACTGGGCAGACTTTGGCTTGCTTTAATCTTCAGTGGCATATAATTCCATAGAAAAACCTACTTAGGTTGCTTCAGAAGTAATGCCTCCTACTGATTTCCAAGGAAATTACAACAGATACAAAGAGCACAAAAACCACTATTTGATAGAGCAAATGCCCACTACAAAATACTGTTTTTTAACAGTCACCACCACTAACCATGCATTTTTTATCAACCATGAATTAGACCCTGCATGCCTCTCTCATAAAAATCTGTATGAGTGGAGGTGAACTGCCTTTGCTGTCACTGCTGCTGAATCACACCACCGACTGCCTCATTGTGCTCACATTCACTGTTTCATCTTTGTAAACATGAAGGAAACACCAATGAGTGTCGATGGGCACAATCTTTTCCATAGGAAGGAATTAAAAGACACACATTTGCTTTATCTATTCTTATACATCATATGCCATTTTGTCAGATTGCTGCTCTGCTACCATCTGGTTCACCACAACAAAATGTAATAGAATATTGGTGGGAATGTTCAACCTCTACTGCCATACCACCACCATCTGCCTCTGAGATCACTGGCCAACATAATAAAATAGGAGGCACTACATTCAGAGCAGTCCTTGTACTGACAGGAATATTGAATGGCATTTATTGTGACAATTTAGTCTGACTTTAATGTAGAAAGCTTTCCCAAATTAATTTTTATTTAAATTAATTTAAATTAATGCACGCATTTTTTTGAAGGAGAAAAAGAAAGCTCTAAGCTAGTGACCTTATCTTCTGGTGAACTGCTCTAAGGTCTAGGGAAGCCACACTCACCAATTTAAAACCTCCTGCATCTTATTCCCAGGATACATACTATTTCTAATTTCCTTTTTTTTTTTTTTTTTTTAAGCATTGGGTCTCCATGCACCATCTCATTTTCAAGGATCTTACTAGGAAAAAAAGATGACGAAGTTTTTATCATCTAGGAAATTAATAATTAATAAATATATTAAATAAAACTGTACCCAATTACATTAGTAATGCATTCAAAATAGTAATGCATTCAAAGTAATGCATTCATAATAGAAAAGGTACAGACATAATCTATCTTACACTCTGAGAGAACTGCTAAGTGGTAGCTTCATTTTGTGTTGGTGTGAACAGCTTTATACAAAGCTTCACTCAAAATACACTCCTTTTACAGATCTGAAAGTGTGAGAGAGATGAATTACTGGCATAATTTGTATGAAAAAGTGTTGCTTTTTTTTTTCTTTAGTACATGACAAGTCCACTGCAAGTAGACATTTTTAGTACATCTGTATGTAAATGGAAGAAATGAAATTTATCAGGAGTAGTCAGCATGGACTCACCAAGAGGAAATCATGTTCAGCCAACCTGGTAGCCTTCTGTGATGTCATTACCATCTGGGTAGATGAGGGGAGAGCAGTGGATGTTGTGTATTGTGATGTCAGCAAAGCTTTTGGCACTGTCTCCCATAACATATTCGTAGGTAAGCTTACAAAGTGTGGGGTAGATGAGTGGGCAATGGAGTGGACTAAGAACTGTCTGACTGGAACAGCTTAGAGGACTGTGATCAATGGCACAGAGTCTAGTTAGGGGTCTATAACTACCAGTGTTCTCCAGGGGTCTGTACGGTGTCTAATCTTGTTTAACATCTTCATAAATAACCTAGATGAAGGGAGCTGGCCTTCTGGAAGGGATCTCTGAGGAGAAGAACCTGGGTGTCCTGGTGGACAACAGGTTGTCCATGAGTCAGCACTGTGCTCTTGTGGCCAAGAAGGGCAAAGGGATCCTGGAGCGTATTAAAAAGAGTGTGCCCAGTGGGTCAAGGGGGGTGATCCTTCCCCTCTGCTCTGGCTGGTAAGGTCTCATCTGGAGTACTGTGCCCCATTCTCAGCTCCCAGATTGAAGACAGGGAAATTTTAGAGAAACTCCAGCAGAGGGCCACAAAGATTATAAAGGACCTGGAGCATCTCCCTTATGAGGAAAGGCCAAAAGTGTTGGGAATCTTGAGTCTGGAGAAGGCTAAGAGAAAATCTTGTAAATCTTCACAAATATCTAAAATGAGGGAGTCTAGTTGATGCTGGTGATCTCTTTTTGATGCCATGAAGCAACAGGACAAGGGGAAACAGGCAGAAACTGGAACACAGGAAGTTCCAAATGAACATGAGGAAGAACTTGAGGGTGACAGAGCACTGAAGGCTGCCAAAGGAGGCTGTGAAGTCTGGCGATATTCAAAATTGCATAGGCACTTTCTTGTGTAACCCAGTCTAAGGAAACTGCACTAGTAGGGAATTTGGATTAGGTGACCTCCGGAGGTCCCTTCCAACATTATGATTGATCTGTTCTGTATTTTGCAATTGCAGATGAGTTGATTGCAATCAGCTGTCTTTATGACCTAACAAATATCTGTCTACTTATATGTCCATATTACTAAACATCTCTTAAATTCCTGTCTACAACTAGTAAAACTTAAGTGAAGTACTTATATCTGCACTCTCCACTTACTGCCTTCTTAAGTTACTATTTACTGACCACAATGGCTCATTTTCTTTAGTCCATTGCCATACCAAGCTAACAGGCTAAACGGATATTAAAAATCATCAACAAATGCATGGTCACAGCATTGTTTTTCGCCATAGTTCTTGATTACTACTGCAGTCAGACATAGGAAAAAACAAACGTTACTAAAACCAAATACAATTCATTTAAATTAGTAATCTCACAAAATTAAGGTCACTCAATGACTTTATCCATGCGCCCAGTGTGTAGTCCAGTATTGCAGAATTCTGTAAAATGATAATTTCGAATAATCTTTCGAATAGAATTCCAGCTCCATATCATAATTTCATCCTTTGTTCTACTGTTGACATCACACACAAAATAAAAGGCAGTAACTCTTGTATGATAATAAGGTAAAAGCACTTAAACTTTTAGGGAACTAAAGGGAAGATGAGATTTCTTGCATTTTACCAACAAATAAAAGCTTCATATTGCATCTCACAGACAATCTATGCTATCTCTCTTATAAATGGTGGACTGTCATAATTTCAGCTGGCATACGGAGGCTTATGTATGTGTGTATATGTATATACTTCAAAGAAATAACACAGAGGCATCAATATGTAAAATATGCATGTAAATTAAAGATAACTATCAACAAACAAGTATAGTGACTAGCATCACTATACTCACTTTTACCAATGTTAATAAGAAGCAGAGTTCTCACAATGGTTTCTTCAAAGCCAGCAGTATTTTGGGGGAGAGTAAAATAGTATATAACAAAAACTCAGGGATTTAATAAGTTATAGAAGATTTTTAAAGGATTTGGTTCTGAAATGAAGGTTTCAGAGTATTATGCAATTCATATTAAAGTATGATCCTTCATTCCACGTACCTTGAATAAAATATAAATAAATACAGAGATAATAAATGCCGGATGCCTGAATTCACTGGCATTGTTCAAAATAGTCTTCACTTAGAATAACTCAAAAGATAGATCTGACAGCTCCTGCTTGAGTCTGCAAACACAATTATCTAGTCTCAGCATTCCTTTTCTGTCATCTGAATGTGTATTATATTGTTCCCACTGTGCAGATTACCCACTGCCACAGAATATGGAGGAACTGAAGATCACTAGGAAAGTTCCGCAATGTGCAACATATGTTGCAGTCATGAAAACTTGAGTCTTGACTCCTACTATGAGCACAAGCTGCTCCCAGCTAATGTGACATAATTTTCTGTTGCAAATACAATAAATATTAAAATCCTCCTGCTTTTTGAGACGTATTTGTACATTTGCTAGTGGAACAGACATTAATAAAAAATCTATCATTAGAAATATTTTACTGAAAAGCAGTAGAATTTAAGCTTAGAAACTGAATCTTACTAAATTTGCTTTCCTGTAGGTGTTATTCAATTTTCTACAAAGTTTGACCTCATATATAAATAGATGAGGTTGTCTCTAAAAGAAGTAAAATCATGCTCCAGTTTAACTCTCTTAGTTATTATACCACAAGAAATTCAAAACTTCTTTACACCTCATACATAAAATCTTCAGTAACCTGTAAAATACTGTTTTCCAGTATACTGTACCCTTCTGACTCAAATGCTTGTATTTAGAAGCAAAAATTGCAACAGCTTGGATTGCATTACATGTTTCCTTACAGTGCTTCTAGTTTGTTCTTAACTATATAAATTCGTATGAAAGTATCTTTGTAATTATCTTAGCTGGGAGACTTGGATATCAAATGTTATTGATACATGTATCAGTTGACCTGAATAGGCTCAAAGTTGTGTTGCACTAAGCTTAATATGCAGTGCAGCTTTCACACCTATGATGTGATGCACTAATTCCTTGAACATTGAATGAAATCATTATAAGAGAGGAGCATGCAGGCAGCTCCCACATGGTATCAGTGATTGTGACACTTGCATGACCTTGTCTCTATCCAAAGTGCAGCAAGAAGTTCTCATGGGAACATAATATCTGTCCAGCAGAGGAGATAATGAGCAGGGTTGTTTTCTTGTAAGAAAATGTTATATTGTTTGAATGACTGAAAAAGTAATATTCATAGGTAGGATCCACTTTGTAAGCCATAGTAAAATCTAAAAATCGAGTTTTCCAGAATTTAATGAGATATGGAATTTACTCATTATCTATACTTCTCTTTTAACTCTTTCTTACTAAAACAGCTATTAGGGCTTTTATTATTGGAGCTTTCTAACCAAGATCCAGAAAGCGCTCTGCACCAACTTTTGCCTTCACATCCCTCTCTTCCCACTTCTGCAGAACCATTTCTCAAGGATGTCCTTTACTCTCTCTTTTATACTCAGTTCTATTTCAAACAGAAATGATTTTTTTTTTTTTTTTAAATTCTGTGAGGTTGATAAGCCCTTTTTCTACAGTGAATTAGTCAAGAATCCTATAATTGCAGAGTTTGATTTCTGACTTCTTTTACTCTCAGAACCAATTTTTGAACCTCGGACTCATTTCCCTCTTTGGATAAAAAGCAAGAGTAGTTTTCCACTACACCTGGGTTGGTAGTAGGGATTATAGACTAACCTGGTTCACAAATGCATACTTGACTAAAAAATATCAGTAATACTGAAGCAAGAGATTTCCTTACAGAGAGT